CGCTTGTGTCACTGAGCTAAATCCCCAGCCCCCAACATTAGTATTTTAATAGCAACCCCTTAGCTTAATCATTAAAATTTTGTCTGAATATTGAACATTTTGGAATATAAAATATAGCCAAAAAACTATTATTTCTTGATGGTTGCATGTCTCTTTTAGTAGTAGAATTTCTGCAGAAAGCTAATGAAATATTTGCAATTTATAAAGAAAACTGGAGATCAAAAGCCATATGTAATATTTTATCACAATAATGATAACATTATTTTAATAACATTTAAATATCCATCTTAGTACTGAATAGCCTTTTTGTCAATCATCTCTGTGTAGTATGTAAGAAATGCCCACCTACTTGTTGTCCTTAAATGGAATGGCATTGAAGAAGTTTGTGACATTGTCTGAACTTGTTTAAGGTCTAAACATCTGTAAGTGTAGCGGCACAAATGTAACATACATATCCTGTAAGTCTTTGTTAAAAAATGATCACTTAACTTGTGATGTCATGCTGGATGCACATAAACCTCTCATTACGTATAGCAGGAATGCAAGAGAAAGGCAAATATCTGAGTCTTTTTAAAAATTTAAGGTAAAAAGACAGAAAAGAAAAACAAAAAGCAAAAGAGACAAACAACAAACAATCCAATAATATAAGAGTATAGGTTTACAAAATAAGATGATAGAATTTGACAGTGGTTGTAATATTGCATACTGTTACCTTTGAAAAGATTGCTTAGAATAACAGATATAGACATGTAAAATAAAATAAAATCTAATCATATGAATATTAACTGTTCTTTTCCAATAACTAATATGTAATAAAGGCATAATACATAATATAATAATAAGTGATGTAGTCATTTTAGCTATGATATATATATATATATATATATATATACACACAAATTTATGTCTTTTCCTTTTCTCTTCCTTTTTTCCTCCTTTCCCCATCCCAATTTCTTTTCCCCTGTGATCAGTTTCTTATCCTTATACAGTATTTGTTGTAAATTTTGGATCATGTATTTTTCAGTTTCTTTACACTAGAGACACAATATGGTATTTACACATGAGTTTGATTTATTTCACTTATAAGTATGGTCTCAAGTTGCACCCATTTACTTATAAAATTCTCAGTGCAATCTTTATAGCTGAGTAGTACTGAATTATATGAAAAAAAACCTTTTTTTCCGCCGATTCCTTGATAGGCGCTTGGGTTGTTTCCAAGATTTGGCTATTACAAATTGTGTTGCTATAAACATGGGTGCACATATATCACAAGGGTACAATATTTTCAATTCTTTTGGGAGAATGCCCAGAAGTGGGGTAGCTGGGTCAAATGGAATCTCTAATCCTAGCTTTTTGAGGAATCTTCACAATAATTGCATTAACCTACACTCCCACCAACAGTGGAGAAGGGTTCCTTTTCCCCCAACACCCCTCCAGGATTTGTTATTGGTTGATTTTTTTGATTTTTGACATTCTTTCTGGGGTGAGATGGAATCTCAGTGTTGCTTTAATTTGCATTTCCCAAATGACCAGTGATGGTCAACATTTTTTCATGTATTTGTTTGTCATTTGTATTTTTCATCTGAGAAGTGTGTATTCGTCTCAGGTACCCATTTTTGGATTGGGTCTTTGAATTTTGGGGGCCTGATTGTTTAAAAATTGTTTATATGTTCTAGATAGAAGTCTTTTGCCTGAGGAACATAAATATTAACTGTTCTTTTCCAGTTGAGGAACAGCTGGCTAAGATATTTTCCCAGTTCATGGGTTTCCTTTTCACTCTGTTGGAGATCTCTTCTGACATGCAAAAACTTCTTAATAAGTTGTGATCCCAGTTGTTGATTCTGGTATTTCTCATGCAGTTTGATTTTTGTTCATGAATTCTTTGTCTACTCCTATGTTATCAAGATTTCTACTTGCTTTGTCTTCTAGAACATTTAGTGTTTCTGTTTCAATCTTTAGATATTTGATTCATTTTGACTTTAATTTAGTGCATGGTGATAGACATGGATCTGGTTTCAGTCTTTGGCATGTGGAAACCCAATTATTCCAGCACCATTTATTAAAGGGACTATTTTTCTTCCAGTGAACATGTTTAGCCCCTTTGTCAAATATCAGGCGGCAGAGTGTCTTTGTAGTCGTGCTTGCATCTTCTAATTTGTTCCATTGATATTCAGGTCTGTTTTTTTTTTTTTTTTCCAAGTACCGCGCTGGTTTTATCACAGTAACTTTGTAATATACTTTCAAGTCAGGGGTTATAATGCCTTCTGCCTTGTCTTTGTTGCTCAGAATTTGCTATTTTAGGTCTCTTCTGGTTTCAGGTGAATTTTAGGGATAATCTCTCCAGATTTGTGAGGTATGCAAATGATATTTTGATTGGAATTGCATTCAATTTGTATAACACATTTGAGAGAATGGCCAGTTTCACGATGTTGGTTCTTTCTATTCATGAACAGGGAATGTCTTTACATTTTCTGAAATTCTCTTCAATTTCCTTTTTTAGAGTAATGTAAGTTTCACTGTATAGATCTTTTACTTCCTTTGATAGATTGATTCCTAAGTAGTTCATTTTTTGGCATGCTATAGTGAAGGATGTGGTTTCTCTTATTTCTCTCTCAGGGAGTTTATTGTTTATGTACAAGAATGGTATTGATTTTTGAGTGTTGACTTTGTATCTAGCTACATTACTGAATTTGGTTATTACATCTAGAAGTCTTTCAATGGAATTTTGCCATGATTCTGATGTTTTCCTTCGTAGATAATCTGTTTCTTTTCTCTGAAAGCTTTTAGTATTCTGTTATTTTGCTGAATTTCTGATATCTTAATTATTATATGTCTGGGTAAAGACTTATTTTGGTTGTGGTTAAATGGGGGCTTTCTATGCCTTGCTTATATGTATGTTAGATACTCTTCCCTGGTTTGGAAAATTTTCTGCTATTATTTCTGTAAATAGTCTTCATATGTCATTTGTATAGACCCCTGATTTTTCATTGACACCTATTAGCATTATATTGCTTCTCTTTGCATCATCTTGCAGCTGTTGAATTGTTGTTTCCTGGTTCCTTGATATTTTTTTTTTAAACTTTTTATCGGTACTGTGGACTGAACTCACGACCGCCTGCTTGCAAGGCAGGTGCTTATGCTGCTGAGCTAAATCCCCAGCCCCAGTTCCTTGATATTTTTAAGAGATCTTTTCTTTCATGATTGTAAGTTCCACTTTATCTTTGAGATCTGAGCATTGATCTTCAGTTTCATTCAGGTGATTTTGTCAGCTTTCAATGGAATTTTTAATTTCCTGAATATACCTTTGAATCTGTTATATGCATTCTAATTCTGTCTTATATTGTTCATTCAAAGTTTCCATCATTTTCCTCTACTTTTTAAAATGTATATCTTCTTTAGATACACATAACATTTCTTTCATAATATTTGTTATTTCATTTTTTACCTGGGAGATTATTTCTGATCTGATTTCCTCTACAGCTTAATGGGAGTTGTTTCTTTACTTCTGTTGCTATCATTTCAGAAAATTCAGTTGTGTGATTTCCAGTGTCTTCTATTTCAGTGTCTCTTGGATTTGTTTGTTTTTGGTTGGCTGGAGTACTGAGATTGCATTTTGCTCTTTTGTTTTCCTCTGAAACCCATGTGGCTGGCTAGACACCCTTCTGATGGATTGCACTAGAATGCCACACTGGGCAGAACTTCAGTCCTCTGATGTCCCTTTCTAGCCAGGGCACACCTCCAAGACTCTGGAGACCTGTGCTCTATGGCCTGTGAGACTGGCTTGGCATTTCCCTGATATACTTCACTGGATTGCTCTGGGCCACTGGGCTGGGCATAGCTCTATGCAGCTAGCAGGGTGCACACTCAAGTGTGTCACCAGGGTTGAGTGGAGTTTAACCATGATCCATGGTTAGCAAGGACCCATCTACAGAGTATGTTGCTGGATCATAGTGCCTAACTTGGTGGAGTTCAGAATCTCAGAGATACAGGAGGCTAGGTAGAGCATGCTCCTAGAGTGTGGTAATACTGGGGCCTTGTGTTTGGCTGGAAGGAGTTCAGAGCCTCTGGAGCATGTGGCTAGCTGCAGTGCACCCCTGGTGTATGGTGCCAAGGCCTTGCTCCTGGCCAAGTGGAGTTTGGAACCTCAGCAACCCACCAAATGGCTAGCTGGGCCACTATAGAGCAAGGCCTTGTGCTCTGATGGGCATAGTTCAAACTCTCCAAGACCCATTGGCTAGACTGGTTGCTCTTTGGTGGGTAGCTCTGGGTCTCTGGGCTGGGCTGAGCACCTTTGTGACCTGTGAGGCTGGTCAGATATTTTTCTGCTGGATTTCACTGGGATGCTGGGCTGGGCAGCACTCAGATTGTCTGTGCAGCTAATACAGATACAGCCATGGAGTATGGTATTGGGGCCTTATACCTGATCGGGTGGAGTTCAGAACTTATGGGACCCAGGTGGCTAGACAGAGTATGCCTCCAGAGTGTGATAGTGCCAAGGCCTTGCATCTGGCTCCAAATATCTGAATCTAAAATAAAAAAAGTTTATCACTGTAAATAATTCCAGTTCTATACATGTGATTTTATTTTTTGGTCTTTTTGAGACAGGGTCTCACTCTGCAGTTCAGGCTGGTCTTGAGCTCACTTTGTAGCCCAGGCTAGTCTTGAACTTGCAGTTATTCTGCTGCCTAAGCTGCCCAAGTGCTGAGATTACAGGCAAGCACCACCATGCCTGGATATATATATATATATTTTATTTTTAAAAGAGTAAAACCAAACAAAATGAAACAGAATAAAGCCTATCAAAACAAAATAGTGAAAATGGTATAGGACTTCAAAATAAGATAACAGGAAATCAACAGTGGCTACTATAATGTTTCTTGTTAAGATCTGTATATCTGAAGGCATCAATATATTTCATGTACCATGAGATTAGCAATAATGATTTCTGAGCTATATGAAAACTTTGTTTCTTCATTGTGGTTTTTTTTTTTTTTTTTTTTTTTTGATACCTAAGATTGAACTCATGTCTTTGCACTTGCCAGACAGGTGCTTAGGCTGCTGAGATAAATCCCTAGCCCATTAATTGAGTTTTGAACCAAGATCATCTTTTAACAAGACTTACTGTTTTACCCTCAGAAGACTTAATGTTTTGACAATGATCAATTTACACGTATCACAATATTATATTTAACAACGTTTTTAGGGATGTATACCATAAGGTTATGGAGATTATAGGGGCCCCCATTAATGAACAGAGGTAGGCCACCACTCTTTTATGGGAAGATGCACAGCCACTCTTTAGGAATCCTGTCTAACAATTCTCCTAAGCCTAGAGGTCCTCATTTAATCATTTTTAACAAAATCTTGATAACCTATGAGAACCAGATCATAGCAATTAACACATTATCTTTGAATAATGAAAGACTCTGAAATTATACACAGGCAACAATGTGTACTGCATTTATAAATCCAATTTTGATATTACTTTAGTATCAAAGCATTATTTTCAACCTGGGTGAAAACATGTCTTTAATTTTGATGACATCTATCTGTAAGTCGATTTAAATTACAGAAAAATGTTTTAAAAATCCAGAAAGGTAAAAAGATGAAAAATTGCTGAGCTCAAATAAAACTGCTGTTAAAGATTAGACAGGCAGACAAACAAATAAACATAAGACAATTTGTTTATAAAATGAGAGTGCACTCAGATATTTTCAGCCAAATTGAATTATAATGTCATTTATAATTTTAGAAGTTTGTAATTATAAGTAGACTAATTAGAGATCTCTTATAATTAGAACTAGAAGAAATAAAAAGCTTTCATTTATAATTAACACATTTTGTGGGATTTATTTTTCTTCAGAATGCTGGCAACTTCACGCACCTTTCCCTTTGTATAGCTTTCACTCTGTCTTGTTTAAGCTTTTTTCACTTTTTCAGAGCTTTTTCCTTTAACAGCATTTGTGGAATCGCTCTTTCTGTACGATTTAAAATAGCAAAAAAAAATGTGTCTAGTGGTGTTATAAAGCTTTAGGCTGGTCAGAAACCAACAGCAATTTTATGTAAAGATGTATGCTTGATTTCAGTCATCATAGACTTCATTGGCTGAAATGAAAATTTGACAAAATTTAAATGTGACTGAAGCCTTTTGTGTAGTTTGGGCTAATATTGAACTTTTACAAGATTAAGTTTTTATAATTGCTTAAATAAGCTTTCCCTTTGCTGGTACCTTGTTCTGGCTCTGGCTAGGGCTGTGTCCTACTCTTTGGCTCCACACATTCCTGACATCCTAGCCCCCATTCTAAGGGCAATTTTGACTGCAATTTTTGTTTTTTTATTATTGAAAGCCCATTGAATCACAGTAATTTTTGTTGCTGGTGAGTGAGAAATCTGCCACTATCTCATGTGTTGTCATGACTGTGCCTATGCTTACTGTTGGCCACAGGTACCGCTGCCATTTGATGACATAAGTGCATGAATACATGAGAGAGGATGGGTGCCAGGGCAGCTGGCATGGGCAGATGCACAGGAAAGGCAATGCATCCTTGTTGATCGGTGCTGGGACAAGTGGAACATGCAGCCTGTGTTCTCTGCTGAGGCTGACATGCTGTTTTCACAATGTAAACATTTGAGTTCCTTCCATCTTTCTTGTCCTAGCTGGGCTATAGACTCAGTAGATCACAAGGCTTTAGAGGTACCACCCTTAACTCACTGATCCAGCTCCCTTCCTTGCTTGGGGATCTGTGAGAGGTGATGGTAGAAGTAGAATGCTGTGGTTTCTTCTTGATCCTATACTTTTGCCTTGTGGTGGTTTCTTTAAGAATTTTTAAGTATCTATCTAGATAGATTGGTGCTGGTTTGTTTTTTCCACAATCTTTTAGATTGAATTGTTCTCTCCCCAAACACCTCTCGGTGGTGGTGGCTGAGTAAAGACTCCTGTGCCTGGGGAGTCAGCTCTTCCTGCAGAGTCTTTACCTTGGAGGCAGAAGTCTCCGTTGGGAACATTTTTGTTTTTTTACACTTCTGAAGAAGGAGATGTTAGCTGCAAGCTCTGTAAAGGTTTTAGAACTGAATAGGCCAATTCCAAGTTGACAAAATCTCATAGGAAGTAATTTTTCCTCTGTCATATGTACATTTAAGATTTTCCCTAATTCTCTCCCAATTATCTGAGAAAACCATGGATTATATTTGGTTGCCTCTTGTATCATTTTTTTAAGTCTTTCGTTGGCCCATGAGCACCTGAGTGTTTTAATGAATAACCAGATAGATTTGTGTGATGTGGATTTTCCTGGACCTTTCAGGTCAAACTGATTTTGCTCTGAATGCCTCTGGGGGCGATGGCCCTGACACCTGAGGCGGTAGCCTTTTACACCAACTCTGTAATAGAGCTAAAATTGATCTGTGGTTTTTCCCTGTGTTTTATTCCTAGATAATAGAAATAAATGACTTAACTGCTGGAAGAGTCATCCTTCTTCCTTGTGGAAGGTTTTTCCACAGGAGGAGAACCAGCAGCTCCCAAGATCCAGTCATGGTGGAACTTAGGCAGCTTATTCCTCCATCTCTTGGTAAGTGCCCCTGGCATGGGCCAGCGGGAGAACCAGCAGCTCCTGAGATCTGGCCATGGTGGAACTTAGGCAGCTTACTCATCTGCCCTCTTGGTATGTGCCTCTGGCGCAGGCCAGGCGGAGAATCAGCAGCTCCTGTGAGCTTGCCACTGCACAGAGTGACAATCAAATACCACCACCCCACACCCCAGTAGCAACTGGAGACAGATGCCTCAGGATCTCTTGGGAGGATGACCATATGCAATTTAGCAAATATGGGGTATTTCTTTCTATCTTCTGTTGAAAGGCAAAGGTTGTTTTCACTGTTTTGTTTTGTTATGTTTGTTTTGCTATATTCAATACCCTCTTTCAATTGGTTTTATAATGTGCTGTGTTTGGTTTGATTTCACTATACCTAATTGACTGTACAACTATTGTGATGATAATAAGATATACTACAGTATCTATTACTACTACCCCAGTATTCTGCTGTGAAGTTCTTTACTGTTTCACTGCATTGTCCTGAATGACTTTGTTCTGTCTTGTTCTGTTGCATTTTTACTACCTTCAAAATAAATTTTTTTAAAAAGTTTTAATTTACTTTCTTTTTCTTCTGTTTTTCATTTGAAAGAAACAAGTTTTTATTATGTTGACCAGGCTGACTATGGACTAGTCTATTCAAGGGATCTTCCTGTTTCAACTTTCTAAATAACTGGGACAATAGATACGTACCACCACTCCTGGTTTATATATTACATTTTTATTTAGAATTGTATATAAGTTCATAATATTTACTATTCTTTGCACTCATAGTGTGTATTACTGAAATATAAAATAATAAAAAAGCTTCCACCAAATCCAATATGGTATTTCCAAATAACATAAAAGTTGTCATTTCTATATTTTCCTGCCATGACATGTTGGAGACCACTGCAAAGAAGCACTGATCAGGCTTTAAAATTAATTGGCTTTCTATGTTTATCTGTGAGTCTGTCCTAGGCCCAGGCCCCTTGCCTGGCAATGAGAGCTGATTCCTAGTAAGTGAACCTCTATGAATCCTAGGTCCTAGCAGAAGCCTGTAGTGGCCTGTGAGGCTAGAGAAAGCTCAAAGGGCAACAGAAGACCACAGCTGAGGACGTCTGGTTCAAACTCCAATTAAGTAGACGGAGACTGCAGCTGCAGGCCTCTCACTCCCACTGTCTCACTCTTACCATAAATATCATCATGGAGATAAGACAGTTCTTCTAAGTTGGCATAATTTACTACTTGGAGAGGTCTTTGAAGTTACTCTCAAGGTCCTGCTCATTTCTTGTATAAGCTTTCCTCAGTTTCCCCTCTCTTTATAATATGTAATAAATATAGGCAGCCCAGAGAAGCTCTTTGTTTCAGCCACCAGAGTTAAGAACTCTGTAAGAGAGCTTTGGTCTTCCTCGAGCCCTAAAATCATACCACCTGTCTCATTTATTTAATCCTTCACCATACACTCATTTGGAAGATTGGATATCTAGGCCACACCCTGTTAATGACATAACAATGTTAGGAAAATATTGATCTAAATTCAGTAAGCAATCCTTTCAAGGAAGCACTGAATAACATTATCTTTTTATCTCTTCCCCTTCCCCACCCTATCCCCCTAGATTGTTTTATTTTGTTTTGATTTTTGTTTTTTTGAAACAGGCTTGTTATACAGTTCAGGCTGAATTTGAACTCACTTTTCAGCCCAGGCTGGCCTCAGATTCACAGGGATTCTCCTGTCACAGCTTCTCAAGTACTAGGATTATAAGTGTGGACTACCATGATTGGTTCCCCAGATATTTTTCTAATTTTAAACAGAAAAAATTAGAAATAATAATAAATCATAGTTTCAAAACATGCTAGTAGGAGAGTAAGAATAATACACTGCATATTGTTATATTCATAGTAATTGTTTGGAGTTTAAGACATAGACATGAAATAGAAAGTACAAAGCTTTCTTATCAATGTACTAAGAAAAAATAGCTAATAACTATTTTACAATCTTGTGTGCATGCACATTTCTTCTTTTCTCCTCCTTCCTTTCCCCTTTCTCCCATCATAGCTTTCATTTGAATAGTTTCTTCCCAATTCAAAATATCTATTGTATATTTTGGATCTTATTTACTCATTAGCTTCTCACACTAATGAGACAATATGTTTACACAATTGGGTCTGATTTATTTCACTTATAAGTATGGTCTCCAGTTGCATCCACTTACCTATAAAAGTCTTGAGTTTATTCTTCTTTATAGCTAAGTAGTATTCTATTATATTTTTTAAAAATTTATCCATTCCTCTATTATATTTTTAAAAAATGTATCCATTTGGGTTGTTTCTAAAATTTAGCTATTACAAATTATGCTCTATAAACATGAGTACACATATATCACTGTGGTATGTTTTTGATTCTTCTGAGAAGATACCCAAAAAGGTAATAGCTATGTTGAATGGGACTTCTAAACCTAGTTTTTGAGGAATCCCCACACTGATTTCCACATTGGTTGCACCAGTCTATACTCCCACCTACAGTGGGAAAATGTTCCTTCTTACCCAGAGCCCCTCCAGCATTTGTTAATGATTGATATCTTAATGATAGCCATTCTTTATGGAGTGAGACAGACTCTCAGAGTAGTTTTAATTTGCATTTCTTGAATGACCAATGATGCTGAACGTTTTTCATAAATTTATTTGCCACTTGTATTTCTTCATCTGAAAATTGTATACTCATCTCAGATGCACATTTTTAGATAAGGTCTTTGAATTGGGGGATCTGATTTGTTTCAATTTTTATATATGTCCTAGATCTAAGTCCTTTGTCTGAGATACAATTAGCTAAAATTTTTTCCCACTATGTGTGTTGCCTTTTCACTTTGTTGGTGATTTTTTTGTTGTGCGGAAGTTTTTTAATAAGGTGAGATCCCACTTGTTAATTCTTTGTAATAGTTTCCATGCAATCTATCGACATTCCTGTGTTTGTCTAACATTCCACTACCCTCTCCTGTTTACCATTCAAGAATTGACATTTATACCAATTTCAACTTCCTGTCACATGTAATTTGAGAGTATAATCAAACTGCAATAAAGAAATTACAGTTCTATTTCTTATCACCTAAAATCAGCAAGTGGAGTGCCCTTCTGTCATAAGAAGAGCAAAATGGTTTATTACGGATTCACTGTGTCTCTTTCCAAAGTTACGCATTGAAGTCTTATCTCTCAATATGATTGTGTTAGATGAAAAGTCTTTGGGTAGGTAACTAAGGTTAAATGAGGTCGTAAGAGTTGAGATCTAGTTTGATAAGAGTATAAGAAAAGGAATAGACGTAGACACAGACACAGATGATCTCTTCACACAGAGAAATGTCATGTGAGGATATAGACACAAAGTTAGTCTACAAGCTAGAAGAGAGGCCTTATCAGAAACATAGTTTGTTAACATCTTGACCTTGTATATCTAACCCATAGAACAGAAAGAAAAGAAAAAGTAAAGAAAGGTAATCTGTGTCGAACCAGCCAGTCTGTAATATTCTGTCATGACACCTGAAGCTGACTAATTCAACATCTTTGAAGAGTTCCATATTGAGACCTTATTTCATATTTTATTGTAACTTGTCTGTTGGGGACTAGGCTACATAAGAGTTAAACTGCTGACTACAAAGGTACTTCTGGCTGTCTTGGAAAAGCTCACATTCACAGTGTTCTTGAAGTCAAGATGACACCACTTGTAGGTAACTGAGGACAAGGCCTGCTGACACTTTCTATCCAGAGCAATAAAGATGCCAACCTTAAAGAGCAAACAGTTCTCTTAATGGGCAAAATTTACTGCCTTGTTTCTCAAGGCCCTGATAATTTTTACAGGCATTAGCTTGAAATATGCCCTCCTCTTCCTGCACCCCCTGAATCTGTGAAAATTAATAAATAGGGGTAATCTGAAAAATTTGTAGTCCTTACTCCTAGAGAGTTCTGACCTTCCTGTATCCCCTAAAATCATATTACTTGTCTCTCTTTTTTTAAAATCTTCACCATAATTCATATTAGAAGATTGGTGGTTAGGCCAAGTCCCCATTAGCTGGAACCCAAACAAGGACCTGAATCCTTGGCCTAGGACTTATAAGCTTGAATAAGTAAGTGCCGCTCAAAGGGGAAAGTTTGAGACAGAGAAGCCCTTCGTGGGAAGACATTTCTCTAAGGATTCTTGAAGAAGAGAGGGAAAGGGCGCTTACCAAGAGGACAGATGAATAAGCTGCCTAACTTCCATCATGGCCATATCTTGGGAGTGCTCATTCTCCTCCTGGCCTGCACCAGGGATGCTTACCAAAAGGGCAGAAGAATAAGTTGCCTATGTCCCATCATGGCTGGATCTTGGGAGTGCTGATTCTTCTAGCCTGCTCCAGGGGTGCTTTCCAAGAGGGCGGGCAAATAAGCTGCCTAAGTTCCACCATGGCCAGATCTCAGGAGTGCTGGTTCTCAAATTGAACACTTTTTAACTAAAGTATTGAGCTTGTTTTCACAAGTATTTCATTTTTAATGTCAAGATTTTTATCCCTTAGAGTGGGCATATACAATTTCTCATGAGGTGTTTTAGATGATGATCCCTTTAAATTCTCAGTAGTTATTAATGCAAAATATGTTCATACAAGTATGTAATAAAAATTAAAATGAAATGTTTAGGATAACTAAATTTGAAATAAATTTAAAGAGTTTTTTAAATTGCTTTTTCTTTTTCCTTTTACTATTTGTTTATTTTAAAGAGAAAAAACCAGCAAAATTGAGAAGCAAACAAAGAAACAACAAGAACAAAACAACAATAGCAAAACAACAACAGAAACAATAGCCAAATAGGTTTTCAAAACAAGATGATAGAAAGTTAAAAATGGTTATTACATTGCATATTATTATCTTCAAAGTAATTGCTCAGGTTAACAAATACAGAAATACAACAAAACAATTAAATGGAACAAAACATTGGATTTCAAAAACAAGACAGAAGGAAATCCCCCACAGTTGCT